CAATACATTGATTTATCAACGCATCATAATGCATTTTTTTTATAATAATGCATTACAATGCATTGAAAACTTCATATTTGGCACTTGCTATACAAGATTTATATAATCCTATTAAATCGATATCCTAATCACCATAATTGTATCTCTGTGGTTCTGCACATCTATCTCCTTAACTTAACCTTTTAACCTTAATCTATCTCCTTAACTTAATTCTTTAACCTTAATCTATTAACTTATCTATATCTATCCACTTAACCTTAATCTATTAACTTATCTATCCCCTTAACCTTAATCTATTAACTTATCCATCCCCTTAACCTAAATCTATTAACTTATCTATCCACTTAACCTTAATCTATGAACTTATCTATCCCCTTAACCTTAATCTATTAACTTATCTATATCTATCCCCTTAACCTTAATCCATTAACTTATCTAAATCTATCCCCTTAACCATAATCTGTTAACTTATCTATATCTATTCCCTTAACCTTAATCTATTAACTTATCTATATCTATCCCCTTTGCCCTAATCTATCTCTCGAACTTAACTTAACCCCTTAACTTTCATCAACCCTCTTATATATATCTATCCCCTAATGTATCATTTTGATCATATCAGATAAGAATCTAAAACAAAAAGACAATTAATGAATAAATAAATTTATTATTATTAAATTCGAACTTACCATTTCGATCATCATCGATATCAACCTAAAACACAGGAAAAAGAAATAGAAATAATTTTAATATTGAATTGTAACTTACCATTTCGAGCAGATCGATAAGAGCCTAAAACAAAATATAATGAATAAATAATTTTATTATTATTGAATTCAAACTTACCCCTTGGATCATGTCCAATTGTAGTTGAAACCAAGAACAGTTCAAGAACGTATATATGACATAAGACTGTTTCAATAGTATTAAAATGGTTTCAGATTTGGAAAACAAAATGATTCATTATCTAATCGGTTATACTTGATACTGTGAGCAGTTTTAGTTCACCAGATACATCCGAAACTGAGCAATAACGAAGAGGGAAAACCTCTTGAGAGGTCTAAGACTGTGATCTCTTTCATTCTACAGAATATTCTAAAAGCATTCAAAACTTTAGTAGCGTTTCGTTGCATCAAATAGAAACTCGAGATCGGATTTCGGTTCGTTGGTGCACATTTGCCCGATTGAGTAAACTCGGAAACTCTTCGGCTTGCCTTGGGAAATATTTTGGAACCTGAAAGGGTAATCTGATATACCTCATCAGATTTTGGCTCAAGTTTTCAATAGTGTAGGTTTCCTTGAATACCCTAGTGATTTCTAAAAATACGATTAGGTTTCCATTATCAGGGAAAGGGATTCGAAAAATACTCTGAGCGCTGTAACTCAGGTTACATTTTTTATTAGTTCTTTAACTTGCGCAACTCTTATTGAAAAGCACCTGATACACAGAAAGCTGCGTTAGATCAAATATCTACCTGTCAAATCACTTTTCAATATCTCTTTTACAGAAATGGTGAATTCTCTAATTTAAAAACATTACTCTAAATAATGCATTGAAATACATTGAATAATAATGCATTATCCTCAATTTCTACATTATACCTGATAATGCATTGAAATATATTGAATAATAATGCATTATCTTAAAATTCTCCATTATTTGGAATAATGCATTGTAATGCATTGAAATTTTGCTGCATTCTCAAGCCAATTTCGCATTATTAGAAATAATGCATTGAAATGCATTGGATAATAATGCATTATTGGAATTTTCTACATTATTCTAAATAATGCATTACAATGCATTGAAAATTTAGGCATTATCCTTCATTTTCAGCATTATTAGAAATAATGCATTGAAATGCATTGAAAAGTCAAAAAATAATTAATTATAATGCATTAATTCATGTTTTTCTTCAAATAATGGAAAATAATGGATCACTTTCCATTATTCATCCATTATCGGCTACATGGGCAGTCAACTTCCACATCAATTGTTGGTCGTTGAGTCGATTTTTGTCGAAGGTCAGACACGTCAAGTCAATCGAATCATGACCTATAAAGTGGATTGGATGGAAAAAAAACTGCTATGGTTCAATGCGACGGCTCCGTCAGGGTTTGACTTCTCAACCAGCACAAAAATCATCGAGCTGTGTTATATTATGACACATAAGATCTGGTTTTTTTTGAAATAGAATAAATCAAATTTGAAACCAAGGAATTTTTATAAGATGTGATCGGAATATTGTCTACAATTCAGAGCAGAGTGTGGGTGTGGATGTTGATTATCTTAAACAACACCTACCCACACCACACCCGCACCCACATTCACACTCACACCCCACACCCCACATCCACCCTACACCCACCCACACCTACACTCTTCATCTCTTCTCAAGTATTTAGTGCAAAAATGAATCAGCTTACGGCTTTTTCCTTCTTCCTTTCGTGATTCCTAATTTTGATTAAGTATCTATTGTGAGAAACAGCATGAGATACTTTCATTTATTGCTTTTTTCTTTTTCCAGCTAGATATTCTGATCTCCGTTTAATAGGCGTTGTGAGAAATAGTATGAAACTTTTTCGGATTAAGTCTTTTTTCTTCTTCGTCTTTGGATCTAAACAATTAGGAAGCTCAAAATAGGGTAGAGAACTGGAATAGCTCGTTAGAATCTTCCTTATTTTTGACCATTTTCGAATGTAGCCATTGTCACGTTATGTCATGAATAAATAGCAATGAAAGCATTGAGTAGGATTCTAGTTTCACATCGCCTTTTCCATAGCACTGCTCGCGAAAAATATTTTATAGCGTGTCAGATTTCCTTTGTCTTGTTGTGGTTCTTGGACCATATGTGTCTGTCAGGAACTCTCTCTTATTTTCGCTGTAGGTATGAAACACTGTCTGTCTGGCTTTCATCTGTACTTACAGTGTTTTGATTATCGTCATCTGCGCTATAAGTAGCTATTAATAAGCGCTTGTTAGGGATACTGCCTTAGCATCAGCGTTGTAGTAGAATAATTCTATGAATAATACTTTTTTTGTTATTATCCTCAAAAGGCACAAAAGGCTTTCTGAAAGAGTATTTACAAAGATTCTCAGGCACTGTCAACGGGCATCAAAGATTTTCCAAAAGCCAGAAAAATGCTTCAGAGGGGACTATTAACGACTGCAAGCACTATGAATGCTGACTTAGCATTAACATTACATTAAAGTAATGTTAACAGTAATACTCTTTTGTTACGATCCTAAGAGAAAAGTATTGCAATTTGTATTGATTAATATAATGGTAAAACAGAGCCGATATCTCTGACTAATTTCAATAAGTTTGTGTTATAATTTCACTACAAAAGTAGTTTAGCTACCATTAAATTAATGAAATATTATATTAACTGAGTAGCAGCTAAAATGCTTTTGCATTGTAACATAAATGTGTTAAACTTAGTCAGAGATATCGGTTCTGCTTTAGCATTATATTAACCGATACAAATTGCAATACTTTTCTCTTAGGATCGTAACCAAAAAGTATTACTGTTAGCATTACTTTAATGTAAAGTTGATGCTAAGTCAGCATTCATAGTGTTTGCACTCGTTAGTAACACCCTTCGAAGCGTTTTTCTGGCTTTTGGAAAGCTTGTGATGCTGTTGAAGGTGCCTGAAAATTTTTCCAAATATCCTTTCATGAAATCTTTTGTGCCGGTGAGAATGCCTATGAACCTTTCAAAATCCCTTTTCATAAACCCTTGATAGCGTTTAGGATGCTTAGAAACGCTGGCAGATACCCATTCATGAGCCCTTTGAGAATTTATTATCCTCTGATTTGTTTTGCAGTGTAGTTGATGGGATTGATCAACCTCCTGTGCTACCCATTGATCATCCTCTTTATAGTTGATGAAACTAATCAACCCTCTGAACTATCCCTTAATCTACCTTTCTATAGTTGAGAGGACTGATCAACCTTCTGAAGTAACCTTCGATCTACCGCTTTCGGGTTGATGAAGCTGATTAACGCTTTCTATTAGCTTTACGTAAGGTAATGCTAGGGGATTTCATTATCATATACCCGTTTATAAACGGATAACTGTAGTGATATTAATTAGTTTTTAAATTTCATCTACCCTTTGAAAGGGTTTAGGAGAATGCAACGGATAATGTACCCTTTAACCATTTTTGAATTCTATAAGCGTTGTAAGAAACCTTTTCATAACGGGTATTTTAAGTTGATGAACGCTTTTTTTTTCACTATTTTTAGCGGTAGATAAAAGGGTTTTGCACATTCTAATAAATGGCAGAAAAGGGTAAATTATCCGTTGCATCCTGATAAACGCTTTCAAGGTTGATCATTCTACGCTTTTTTTTTAATCAGTGTAGGACAACGATATCGTTGTCCGATAATAGGACTGATGCTACATCCAACACATGAGACATCTTCCCATTTAAACTCATCTGCTGTAGGAGCAGCTACTATTTTTCCTTGTATCTATGTTTTCAAAGCTTCTACTCCTGTACGTGCAACATCATTAACACTGTGACGTGATAAAACTTTTTCATCTGATGAAAAAATGCACTAGGATTTGGCTGTTGGTTTGTGAATGTGGATGTAAGTGCGGGTATGATTCTCTTGTTCACCATGTCCACATCCACAATTCATCTGGGCCGTCTCCTGGGAGAACTGGAGGCCGAAATGTTTGATCTTGGTTGTAATGACACTATGATGTAAAATAGCCAACATTTATATTAACTTTCATCTTTTAACGGCAACATTTATGACTGTTGTCTAATACAATGCGCATAGCTCGTTTAAAAATAATACCCATATGGTTCACACGAAAATGAGATTTATCTAATACCAGTATCAGTAGTGTTTGAACAATTTTTATCTTACATATGTATTTTTATTCTAGGGTCTTTTATTGTAGATCATGTATTGCGTTGTAGAAAAAACTACGCAATAAGAAAAGTTTTTAAATTGGGGAAAATAGAGTTTTAGCTAAATAATGTTTTAAATATATTCGTGAGGTTCCGTTCGATATAATTTTCCATCACGGTTAATATAGGTAGTGGTAATACTTCCATCATCGGGCTGATATTGACGTCGAGTAACACCGGTACTGCCAGTTAAAGCACTGTCGCCAATACGGTTCGGTGCTGAATATGTATACGTTTTAGTCCCATATGTTGTAGCATTTCTGTTAGCATCTAATTCAATTCCTTCACTACTGTTTGCACCTGAATATGAAAAAACTTCACTGATTATCTCAATTGACTGATGAAAATCACTATTACCTTCGTATGGATATACATTCATTGACAATGATGATACTGGAGGCGTCTATAATAAAAAAAATTATATAGTTTCTTGTGAAGACTTTTTTTGACAAGAAAGTTACTATATCTTCGACAACACCAAGATTACGAGCTTGTTGAACCAATGTTGTTGGATCTAAAAGTGATCCTCTATAGCGGGCTACATAATCTTCAGGATTTGCATTAGTAGGATCAAGTTTTTCAAATTTTCGGGCTATACGCCCTTGAACATTTCCGTAAATAATAATAGTACAACTCGGTTTTGGATATTCTCTAGGAGGAGGAGCCCGTTGAATAAATTTATGGCGTTCAGTTTGACGTCCGTACGGTATCCATCGTTCAATTATAATATCTCCTAAATAGAAACAAAACAACAATCATAAATTAAAAGCAAACAAAGAGAAAATGAAGATAATCGTTGTACGTGGTTTTTCTGGAGGATGTGGATAACGTTCGATGACAACTGATTGTGGCGGAACAGGTATGGGAGGTAAGGTACGAATAACTGTAAAACAAAATATATTGATTAACCAAATCTATGTCGTTTGAATTTCTTATGTTTCTAACCTGTTTCATTTGGAAGTATTGGCGGTGGTGTTGGTGGTCGTTCACGTAAAATGAGTGCTGGTTGTGAGGAAAGAGGTGGTGGCTGTTCACGTATGATCAGTGGTGGAGGAGGTGGTGGCTGTTCTGGACGCACTTCTTTAATAATAATTGACTAAAATCATAAAAATACTGATATGCTTGAATTTCAGACAATGTATTTCATTACTCCTGATGGTGGAAGTGGTGGTGGCTGAAGATATCGAACAGAAACTCGTTGTTCATATGTTGGTGGCCTTTCAGTTGTTGTTCGCCTAATAATTTGTGGATTCTTACAAAGATCAATACCATGATTTTCCAGATATATTTCCGTTTCTTCTACACTTCTAGTAACAATTGTCGGATCACCAATATAATCTTTTGGTATTGTTGTAGTTCTATATAAAGAATATTCATTAGCTGTAGATTCAAAAGCATTCTGATTAATATCTTTACGCTCATACCGATCTAATCGACTAGGAATCGTATGACCATGATTATATTCAATATTCAATGGCTCGTATGGTGAAGAACGCACTCCTACAGGATTTGCAGCCCATCTACGAAATTCATTTTTATCAATTCTAAACATGCATATATACATTTATGATTCGACTTAAATTCTTAATTCATACTTTCCATCTTGATTTGTATCAATTGCATCGAAGAAAGGTATAGTTGGATCATAGCTGGCCATTACTCCAAATCAATCGAATAGAAATAAATTCTTAGATAAAAAACAACAACAATGATTAGTATTTTACGGTGGTTTCAAATTTTATTTGCTGAACTTGAAATAGTTGAAATATTTTGCGCGCTATGTCTGAGTTGAATCGATTAAAGAGCTGAATTATATGTCATTATGTAGTATATCATATCTTGTCTTATATACTGCTACTTTCATCAACTCCTACCTTTTTAGTTTATATTTTCTAAGTAGCACGCTTCATTTATTCTGTATTTGCATGAGAAAAAAATTATTTGCCCAATTTCTGATAGAACTATACATGCTTAATCAATGAATAATACTAATGAAATATTTTTGATCTTATTCATGAGTCTAGATTTTTACGAAACACGTTCCAAAGTTGAAACAATCCGATAAAGTTGCTAAAATAAGAACCTTTGTATGACAGATCACATTTAAACATATGCATTCGGATGCCTCGAAGGAATTACCTTCTCTTTTACCAAATTAAACAAAACAGAAACCAGAATCGAAGCAAAATGGGTGCTAAGTATAAAAGGGTATGAGTTTCAACGCACAGGACATTGTAAAACCACATCCACACCGCCGTAAACGACCGATTTCGGTCGGTGTATTACTCGATCAGGACATTGTAGCTTTTTGCCTTGTTGTAGATTCATCCATTGAAAATGCGTGATTAACTGTCTTCACGGTTCTGCCACTTTCAGTTTACGCAAAGAACAGAAAAATTTTTCTACATGCTTCATGAAAAGTCGCAACGAGAAAGGAGACGAAATGTAGAAGATCGCTGCTTTTCTTCTTCAGTTCATTATTAAGTAATATAAGGTATCGGTGTTGGTATAGGTTTGTTGCGATCCGAATAAGCTGCAATACGCATACCCATACAGAAGTGAACTAAAAATATTTTTTGTAAAGAAATATGTGCTAGCAGAATTTTGAAATAAATACTCTTCAGTCGATGCTTTTGACTAGAAAATAATCTTTAAATGCAATTTCATATTTATATTTTCATCTATAAAGCAATATTTTTCAAAAACGGAGTTTGAATACTACTTGTGACAATCAAAAAGATACTTTCTGTTTCAATACATTGATTTTTATTTTTAATCCATTTAGTCAATTCATTTTTATCTTGGTTGTATCTCTCTGGTCTAAAGCAGTGCCTAGAATGCTAATCAAACAGGTTCATCATAAATGCGTTTTATGTATTCAGTACGAGCAATTCGAACAGGATTTTTCATAGCTATTTTAATAAGAGTAACCCGTTTTCTACAAGCGACCTACAATATACTCCTCTATGTTAGCTGTCTTATTGAAAAACGACATTTTCTTAAAGAAAAATTAATTACTTACGTTCTTATTTTGATCAAAAAGAAATTTGTCTATGACAAAAGTTCGTTACCGTTTCGACAAATACTTTGAAATATCAGACTGAAAAAGACGCCGTTTAAATATAACCACAATAGGCATAAATCTGTCAGTGTTGAATAGAGATTACAACCATAAAACACAGTTTTTACTGCTGGTTGTGCTGTTCCCTCCATAAAGTTGTTTTTCACTTTCTGTAGCTTCAGTAATCCAGCCCTGTGGGAAAAAACCATGTACCTCTTTCATTTTCTTTCAGGTGCCTCATATAATGAAGATTACAGTTTATAATGTTTTATGATCGACGGCTACGAAGAGTATGTACTTTTAAAACAAGCGGATTTTTACAGAATCTGAAAAGATTCATAACCTTGACACACGGTAAGATGCTTTTTTAGTTACATCGAACAAGAGTTTCATAAGACACCTTCCACTCAAAATTTCCAAAAAATGTTCGACACATGTAATTTATACGAAACCATCTTTTCCCATATAACGAAATGATTTCGTACGGATTGCGAAATTTTGATTACATAACTGGCAAGCAGAAAATAAGCATCAACACAGCTGTAAACTCGAGTTCTCTACCATATGGATACCCCATACTTACCCATAAATATCCCAGGAGTACCTAATACTTACCCACAGGCACCGCAGGGTACCAACGAAAATGGGTGTGTGGGTGTCGCTGTGGGTGTGGATGTGTGTGGATGGGAGTGTGGGAGTGGGTGTAGGTGTGTGTTCTGAATAACGACAAGACAGCGCTCATGCCGGCATCTCATACCAGTGCACACACATCCACATCACACCCACACCTACACCCACACCCAGCCCAACCCACACCCCCACTCACACCCACACCAGAGCTGGGCAAGTACAGACTTTTTTGAGTACGAGGACGAGTATAAAACCCTCGAGTACGAGTACGAAACCCTCGAGTACGAGTACGAGTACCACAAAAAACGTACTCGTACTTGCCCAGCTCTGATCCACACCCACCCACACCCACACCCACACCCACACACACCCACACCATTTTTCACATAGGGTATTTTCGGAAACCATTTAGGAAATGAAAAGGTATTTTCGCATACCCTTTCTGGTACGAATCCAGCTTTACTAGTAATATGGGTTTTCGACAATACCTTTCCGATTTTCGAGAAACCTATTTGGTTTCCGAAAGCAAGAAAAAGATATTCTAGAATACTTTTAGAGTGTTCAATTGAGTATTGTCGGAAACCCAAAGGATATTTTCAGAAACGCTTTCAATCTTCGAAAACCCTCTCGGAAACGGAAAAGGGTTTTCGACTGGGTTTCCGAACCCCTGTCGGTTTCCTAGGATACGGAAATTTTTTAGAGTGTGGGTGTTGGAGTGGGTGTGGGTGTGAGGTGTGGGGGTTGGTGTGCCTAGGAAGAAGTGAAACGCTGAAAATGCCGTTTAAACTGTCATAATCATCCGTTCTGTTAGAAAACGGTGATAAACGGCAAGAAAAAACATGATCATCACTTTTCTTGCCATTTTTACATCTAGTCAGCGTTTCCAAGCGTTATACACATTAAATAGTCTCTGAAACGGTTATATAAGTCATTTTCTTCTTCGTAAAAGATAGTGAGAAATGTTTATGATCATCTTTTCCAACGAAAACAGCTGTAAATGCTCAAAGTAGATTAATCTTTCTTTTTGGGACTGGTCCCCATAATTATTTATATTCTCGTGAATTTGTGTTTTTGATTGTTTCACACTACGCGTGAAAGACATTTAGTCCGTTTGGAGCTTCCATTTATCTTTTGATCTGCTGAATTATTTCAAAAAAGTATTCGCTGTAGATTTAATTATGTGAAAAAGAGTTCCTTTGATTAAAGTAAGAATCCGCATAACATTGACATCATATGAATCAACATCATGTGTTGGTGCGAACATTAGAATATCGAGAAAATACAGGTTGATTTTATTGATTTAAAGTCTCAATTTTCACATTGAAATCCTAATTTTTTGATTATGTTCAAAGCTCGAAACGTATGATAAATTATAAGTTCCTAATATTCTCAAACATAAAATTGCTGCATTAGAGTTTTCATCACAAATTATCAACTCATCAGTATATGAGCTAGTTGAAACTCGTTTTATGACAAGCAATACAACATTATTAATTATGAGCTATATCATAGGCGCCGCAGGAGTTTTTGGATATGTTGGATCTCGGTTTCAGAGCATGGGATCCAGATAAAATTTATGCAGGATGATATTCAACCTAAATGATGAGTTTTTTACAAAAAATTTTTGCGATCGTAGTTTGCGAAAAAATTTTTAAAAATCTTATTGCTACCCCTAAAAATTTTTTTGCTTTTTTGTAGTATTCCATTTTTTTAAATTCAGTCGTAATCTACGTCGAATTTTATCGACAGATTTCAAATTTCACCTAAAAATATGCATCCGTTCAGGAGTTATGAGATTTTGAATTTTTGTGAAAATTGTTGAGGTATCTGTTAAAGATTCAAAATGTCATAACTCCTGAACGGATGCATATTTTTAGGTGAAATTTGAAATCTGTCGATGAAATTCGATGTAGATTACGACTGAATTTAAAAAAATGGAATACTACAAAAAAGCAAAAAAATTTTTAGGGGTAGCAATAAGATTTTTAAAAATTTTTTCGCAAACTTCGATCGCAAAAATTTTTTGAAAAAAACTCATCATTTAGGTTGAATATCATCCTCCATAAATTTCATCTGGATCCCATGCTCTGAAGCTGAGATTCAGCGTATCCAAAAACGCTGCGCCGCCTATGAGCTATATAATCCAATTAGAAACTCTAGCCAAGTCAAAAGAGAGTAATATTTTCAGTTAATATATATTCGACAAATGTATGTGGCATAAACAGAACGGATCTCATATGCTTAGTAATTGATTGTTAATCTTAATCAAATTGGAGAGACAGGAAAGCAAAGGGAAGAAAAGAAAAACTTACGTCAAGAAGCTAAAGAAAAAATTCAGAGAAGAGGAAGGAAAAAAGAATAAAGTTAGAGAGGGACAAAAGAGAAAATAAATTTGTCCAGCACATTCATTCATTCATTCATTCGATGAAGATTGCTCAATAAGTAAACATCAATTCTGCGAGCGACATGAATGCACACAAAGATAAGATACATGAATGATATCTGAATTTAATCTAAAATACTATTCAGATTACGAAGAAATTCACATATTTACTGTATACGAATTGTGAATAAGGATTCTCATTGACCGTTGGTCGAGCTTAGAAAACATGAGCAAAAAGATTCAGATAACTCTAATAGAACAAGTCTTCAGAATTGGACGATGTAGAGGATTTAGTTTCACCTTACGTTCTGCGTTTATTTTTGCTTTTTCTTAGGATAGTATTTGTGGAAAACTTTCTTGTACATTCCATCGAGATAGTTGACAAAATACGATATTCGTAGAAAAAATATATAATATAGAACTTATTTGTCATTTGGTAGCACCGCATTCCATAATAAAATCATTAGTGAGACTAAGCTATTTAACATTTTTTAAACTGATTTATTAAGATCAATCAGTGTGACGTTTTGTTCTAACTAAGAACATTATCAAACACAAATAAATACACAGAAGAAGAATATACATAAGAGTAAAATAATGTCATCGTTTTTTATTCTATTGTTTTAAGAATTTCAATGCACGGGGGAGTAGAATTGATCCGTCTGTATTAGGATGTTTAAAACAATAGAATAGGAAAAAGATAAACATTATTTTACTCTTATATGTATTCTTCTTCTATCTATTTATTTGTATTTGATAATGTTCTTAGTTAGAACGAAACGTTACAGTGATTGATCTTAATAAATAAGTTGAAAAAATGGTAAATAGCTTAGTTTCATTAATGATTTCATTTTAGAGCTTGTTATTTTACTGAGTTCGTCATCGATTGAAACTTTTACGCGGAGAAACTTTAACTTTTTAACTCTTATACCATAAAAAGAATATAATGCTGAGTATATATTCCGTTTTCAGTATAAATCTTAAAAGAACAACTAGATGATACATATGCGTAAGTCATAAAGATTACAGTAATCAAATAAAAAACTTAGCTGCTCTATTAACGTTTGTAGCAATAAATTATTTTTTATCTACGACAGACGACTGTTAAAGAATGAGAAAAAACAGTCTCAACAATGAATAACTTTTAGAAGTACGTCAATAGTGTTGCTATTCAATATTTTCTTTTGATAAAATATACCAAAAAATTGACATTGTTTTATCGAGAGTATTTTTCCCCTAGAATCTTTCGTTTGTCGTATCAATTCATTAATTCTTCTTAAAAATCTAAGTTTCATTATCACATACATATCTGATACTAATAAACTAATTTAGATTCTTCTTTCATTATTCATCGAGATTATCATAAATCACAACTTTGTAACTAATTATATATTTCTCCATAGATATTAGAATGAACTAGACTTGAGAATTCATAACGAAAACTTGAGAAGATTTCAATGGAATATTTATCAGATTTAAGACAAACACATCATCCTTGAGCGATCGACAAATTTCTAATTACCTACGAAGAGTATAGAAGAAAAACTTTAAAAAACGATCGATGTGTCAGAAGAAAGAGTGTAGTCAGGTTTTTGTAATATCTAAACGCATTCTAATGAGTAGGTCTCATTTTTTTTCGAAAAAGCAGAAGTTAAATTTTCAACAAGTTAAAATATTTATTTAAAGAAATGAAAGTTCATGCATCTTTAAAACATAAGGCATGAGCAGAAGCATTTTGACAAAATATCAAAACAAAAAGAAAAGTTTGTAGAAAAGACTTCTACTCATGTCTTACGTTATATAGATGCCGAACTTTCATTTTTTTAAATAAATATTTTAACTTGTTAAAGATTTAACTTATGCTTTTTCGAAAACAAAATGAGACCTACTCATTGGAATGTATTGAGATATTGAGAAAAAGAACGAAAGTGTATTGTCCATCATCAAATTAATAAAATTAGATGAATGGTCAAGTTACAAGTAAGACGAAGATGATTCTTGAATATTAAACCTTTTTTTCAAGTGAAGAATCGTTTATGACAGATGAAATAATAAAAAATTATGGTTTTAACGTCAACAAATCACTATTTATGACATTTACAATTTGAATTTTAAACGACAAGAACATAATATTACTTTACGACATACAAAATTGTTTTTTGTGATAAGCGCGTAATTTGGTCAATATATCATCGTTTAAACGATGTGACATTAAACATCGTTTTAACGGCAGAACAGCGTTTCCTCAACTAACTGGAATACACTGTATTATTTATTACATAATCCGAACAACATTGATTTAAATCATTTCATCAGTTTATATTAGAATGCCTGTTACTGCAGAAAGTATTACAAGAAATTTTCAAAAGGCATATCCAAATGATGCATTGTATGTTTGCAAACTCAGAACATCTGGTGGATATGGTTTGTTTTATGGCACTCAATTGCTAGATGTTCAATTAGAAAATAAAGATTGGTTGACAGTTTTCAAATTAGAAAAATCTTCCGGAGTTTCTATCGATGATAATATTGTCAAACAAAAAGCATTTCCTTTTGTTTATGATACAAAAGGTATAATAGATAATGAAGCACGATGTGTTCGACTTCGTAACAGTTTAAAGACTGTATTTTCCAATCATTACGTCAATATATTTATTTATAATGAAGCCTGGGCATATAATGGTCTGGCTTTGGGCTTTGCTGAGTTTAGAAATGAGTATGGCTCGGATGTTTGTATTGTTTTGAGTTAAATTATTTTTATACTTGATCACTAAAGATAATTCAATATAATTTGCTATTTATTTATTTTTTTGTTTTTGTAAAAAAGGATTTAAATTCATAATATTTGTATATGATGAACGAATCAATTAATTGATTTTGTAATAGTTTATTTTGAATTAATTTACTTTTTTTGCAATAAATTTCAGAAGTATGACTATCTTGTTGAGGTGGGTGTGAGTATGCGTGTGAGATTTTGATGTCTTCTTCACCCACATCCACACCAAAATAGAAATGGATGAACTTAATTTACGTTCATGTACGATATCAATGATTTTTTTGTATAAAAAATTTAGTGATTCAACAATAAAATTTAATATAAAATTATTTATCATGCATCTTATTACTCACACACATACAGTGTCTAAACCTTATTCACGTTTTTGATTAACACCAATAATTCATATGTTTAATCATATGTTTGCAATACCCTACTGAACATTTAAATAGATTTCTTACTGATACATTTGTTATATTATTATCATAAAAGTCAATAACAATTCCAAGTGAACTTAATTCAACATGAATACAACGTATTTTAGAATATTTATTTCTTAATTGTACATATAAAGTCCTCCTGTGATGAATTTAAATTTAGTTCTCATTAAAAATTAAGTAAATCATGGCAAGAATGCATATATATGTGCCAACATAAATTATATATAGATTAATATCTGATCGAGATATTAAATCAAAACAAAATGCAATAGAATTCTCAATAATTGAAATATTATTAACTAATCATATATCATGTCATAATCCAATAAACGTTTATTAGAGCTATTAAGTGTTATATTAAAATGGCTTAATGATCAATAAATACAAAATATATATGAACTTGTATTTATTCATTGCGTATACATTATTCAGAAATTATTGATAAAACGTATGAAAATTTATTTTAGTGCTACGAATAAATATGTGTTTGGTTTGAGAAAACTATATGGAAATTTTAGAATGGAATGTTTAAAACCAATGATTGCAAATATCACAGATTTTGATTTAGAATATTTGGAATTAAAAGTAGCTGGAATATCTGATATTCTTATTCATAATTGAATAATGACATTTTTTAATTAGAAACTGTTATGAAATATATGCAGCATGGATGGCATTTCTGAGAGGCTGGAATTACTGGTCGGCCTTGACAGAAATGGCGTACCTGAAGTAGAAAAGTACGTCAAATTACATAGAAGTAGCTCCAAATGCACTAACTAAGATCAAAATAAACAAAAGTACTTAACAGAACGCCGATTAGCTCAAGTATTTGAAATTTGGAAGTAGTTTGAAGTAACTTAAAGTAGTTTCAAGTGGCTTAAGGTATCTCAGAGTAGCTTAAGTTGCTGAAAGTAGCTTAAATTACCTTAATGTACGTCAAAATAAGCTTTAAGTACTTTAAAATAGATCAAATTGACTTCACGTACAAAAGGACTCGTGTGGGTGTGAGGTGTGGGGTGTGGTGGGTGTGGGTGTAGACTATTCTGTCATCGAAACCCACACCAACACCCCACATCCCATACTTCACACTCACACCCCAATGAAAGAGCAAGAAAGAGTAGCTCGATGATCCACACACCACAGTAAAATGCTATCTGATGGTAATAGATTAGATATTGTTGTCGATATGACAAACATTCATGACGGAGGGTGTGGGTGTTGATTTTATGATTCTCTGTACCCACACCCACACCCACACCCACACCCACACCCACATCCACACCCACACCCACCCACACCCACACCCACCCACACCCACACCCACACCCACACACACCCACACCCACACCCACCCACACCCACCCTCAATACAAATAACAAGACCGGATAAAGGAAAGAGAATAGTAATTATGGATAAAGACGATTATAATAAGAAGATGCTTGAAATATTAAGTGATCATAAGACATTTAAAGTTTTGAATTTTGTTGAAACCATGTCTCACGAAGATAGATTAATACGTAAACTAAAACAATTAAAAAATAATGGTTTTATAACTGAAAAAGAATATAATTTTTGTCGCCCAACTGGCTCACAGCCTGCTAGAATATACGGCTTACCTAAAATTCATAAAATTGGAGCACCACTTCGACCAATCGTTTCAGCTTCAGGTACATTTAATTACAATCTAGCCAAACTATTGGCTAATAAACTAGACCATTTAAGAAAAAATGACACAATCATAACTAATACGTTTGCTTTCGTAGATGAATTACTTGCATTAGAATTTGATAACTCTCAGATAAAAATGGTGTCTTTGGATATCACCAGCTTATTCACTAATGTTCCATTACAGCGCACTATACAAATAATTCTTGATAAACTGTATGGACCAGAACATACCTGTACATATAGTGATAAGAAACGAGATGATTGGTGTCAAAAATGTAAAAACAGATTTGAAATGAAATATTTATTAGACACCTCAACACAAGATACAAATTTTATCTTTAATAGCAAGATCTATTCACAAATCAATGGAGTTGCAATGGGTTCTCCACTTGGACCTGTGTTTGCTGATATATATGTCAATTATCTTGAGAATAAATTAATGTCACGTTTAATAAATAATGGCTTGCTGTACTTGAGACGTTTCGTTGATGATACTTTTGCTATTATAAAAAAAGATGCTGATTTAAATAAGATAATTGATATACTCAACAGTTTTGATAATTGTATTGTTTTCACATGTGAAGAAGAGGTAAATAACTCATTACCTTTTCTTGACATATATATTACACGACTACCAACTAACAATTCAACAAATAATTTAAATAATATTCTATCTAATAATTCAACAAATAATATTTCAACTAATAATTTATCCAATAATCTAAATAATAATCTAAATAATAAATCATCTAATAACTCAGCAACTAGTTCAAATAATAAATCACCTAATAATTCAACAATTATTTCAAATAATAAATCATCTAATAATTCAACACTTAGTTCAAATAATAAATCATCTAATAATTCAACGGTTAGTTCAAATAATAAATCATCTAATAATTCAAGGGTTAGTTCAAATAATAAATCATCTATTAGTTTAAATTATAAATCTTTTTATAACTCAAATAATAAATTATCTAATAACTCAATAAAAAACTTCATTAATAATTTAAATAATAAAGCAGCTGATAATTTAACAATTAGTTCCAATAATAAATCATTGAATAGTTCAACTGTTAATTCGAACAATATAGTATTTAATAATTCCATAAATAATCTAAGTACTAAATCATTTAATATTTCAAATGTTGCTTCAACTAGTAATTCAATTAACAATTTAAGTAATATGCCAACTATTATTTCTACTAATAATAATACACAAATTTCTTCTAAATCATTTGCCACTACCATATATAGAAAACCAACATATACTGGTTTAATAACCAAATGGAGTTCTTTCGTTCCTCATACATATAAAGTTAGTACCATAAGCAGCATGGTTTATAGAGCAATCAGGATATGTTCATCCTATGATTTAATGCATGAACAATTTGAATTTATAGAATTTATTGGTATCGAAAATGGTTATCCAAAAGGTTTTATAAAAGCACAGATCAGGAAAACACTAGGTAGATATTTTGATAAGATCAATGGAACACAAATATATAAATCAAAAAATAAAACAAATAACGATAAAGATAATTCGATAAAACGAGAGCAGGTCTTCATTGATATTCCCTTTTTTGGTAAACCAACGGAAATCTTAGGGAAACGAATAATTAACTTGGCAAAATCCATAAATCCACAATTACACATTCAACCAGTTCAACGACCATCTTCATCTATATCTAAATATTTTCCAACTAAAGATCCAGTACCTAAACTACTTAGATCAAATATCGTTTATAAGTTAGATTGTTCTAATTGTGAATCTACCTATATAGGCAAAACAATTCGACAAACCTATAGAAGACTTCAAGAACATGGAGCTAATTTCTTGAAAGAAAAAGAAAATAAATCTCAATCGCTCGATGTAGTTGATAATTCTAATAATCTTAGACGATCTGACAGAAATAAAGGAAAAACTGTACAATATTTTCCAAAGATACAAAATGAATCAATTGATTTTGAACAAAACAATCTAACACATTCAGCAGTTAAACAACATGAAATTAATAATAATCATAAAATAGATTGGGAAAATTGTAATATTATTGCTAAAGATAATAAACACTACCGATTGTTAGTAAAAGAATCATTGTTAATTTGTAATAGTAAACCTACTCTAAATAAAACAATTTGTTCAGTACCACTAATAATATATCCTGAGGGACTAACAAAAAAACCAAAAGTCAAGATTAAATCAACGATAGATGCACTACCAATAGGGGGAGAATCAGTGTTATGAGCGCTCATAACACTGTTTTCGTCCATGGTAGTGGTATCTGTAGGATTTCTGATTGGAGATACTACAGATGATCACTTTTCTCTTTCTTCTATATTTCTTTGTCATGAATCACTTAACATCTGGTCTTGAAAATGACAGATTAACTGTCGAAACGTCGACTAAAAATTCATTATTAAAATATTGTATTTATTTATTTATTATATTTTTTTTTTCTTTTGTTTATTAAATAAAAAGAAAATTATAATGAAATTTAAAGCTGCTGTAATTGTTATTAAATTCTGAAAGTCATAATCACAAAGTCAGTCTTAGTCATCGAGTCTGTATGTTTGTTTGACTAAGAGTCGTAAAGTCAGTCTTGTTTGTTAGAGTCTTGACATCTCTCAAAGCTATTGTCATGAAGTCAGTTAAAGATTTCAAGTCTTCATGTCTCTCAAAGCCAGTGATAGGAAGTTAGTAATGTCATGAGGTCTTATGTTCTGTCGAACTCAGAGTCATCAAGTCAAGGGAGTGCTATAGTGGTGAAAGTTTTTTGCGTATTGAAGCCAAAGTCTTTAATGCAGTCTGACTTCTGGTTTCTGTATTGGTGTCGAAGGCAGAATGTTGGTGTCTTTAGTTTTGTTACCGGTGAACTGCAGTTTTCGTGTTCGCTTTTTTCGGATTATTAACCAGATCAGTTGGAAAAACTGCATCTTGCGGTGTGAAGAAATACATATCTACCGTTTTTCTCAGAAAGCTTCCAAGATATTTTATTTTGTTTGTCTTCAAACAGACGATTCATGAAAACATCAACTTATTTTTGAAACGATAGCTCATGGCATTCTCTCTAATAGGTGCACGCAGAAATTCTTGTGACTTGTGCTAATAGATTTGAAGCGAGCTAAAAGGCAAAGCGTATGAGAATTTATAGTTTCTCACTGTCCAGAATTTGTTTTTTCTCTTCATCTAAACAACAATCACATTTCGCAGACCTTTCATTCTTTCCGACTATTTTCGAACTGAAAATGCTCACTTTATTGAGATGATGGTATTCAGAAATGAGTTTTTGTGCATATGATTTGATTTGGATAGGAAATGTGTTTTTTTTAAAGTGCTTAAATCGGTATGAAAGTGCGAAACTACCACATCTGATACATCTTTTCTTTTTGCTTACTCCAAATCTATTAGCACAAACCAAGAGGATCTTTTATTTTGACTATCGTACAGAATATCACGACGTATAATTTGAAAAAATTTAAGATTTTATCATGTACATTTGTGGAGATATATGGAGAATAAATTATGTTGCAAACACTTCGAGACATCTAGTATCTCTGTTACATTCTCTCGCAAATGAAGATTTCTTCATGTTTTCCATCATTCCTCTCCTATCAATCTTCTGTATAATTCGGTTGAAAGGATCCTCAAACGGCTGAAACTTGCACGATATTCTGTTGCAATCTGTTGATAAGGATGATAATGCCTGTACTTGGATGAAACATAAATGAATGAAGAAGGAGAAAGACGGCATTCTTTGATTCATCTAGCGATTTAATGCAGCTCTTCGATCCCCAAAGGAAAATTTGTCGTAATCTATTCAAGTTTTTAGGTATTGAAAGATGTAAAAACAAGTCGAAATTTTCTCAGGAACAATGTATTTTCTTTTGAATTCTCAGGATTCTAATGATTTCACACAACAATTCCACATAAATTGAATAAGGTTTATATCATGCATCCCGTGCAATTCCTACACTTCTAAAATAGCAATCATAACATAAGAGTCAAAAAGAAGATATCCGAATGCTAATTCTGTGTTTGAGAATACTGGATAGGTTTTCCGAGCTTTTTTTCGGAAACGCAAGGGTTTTCTGAAAATTCGAAAACCCTGAAGGGTTTCCAATAGATGTTCGGAAACCATGCTCAATTTTTCGGAAACGCTTCCGCCGTTTCTGATGCTCGGAAACCCAAAAAAGTTTTTGATAAAAAAATTATCGGAAACGCAAAGGTTTTTGAGAAGGTTTTTAAATCAGAGAAGGTTTCCGGGGATAACTTTCGGTTTTCAAAAAGAGTACCAGGATTTCTGAGAATACGTTTGAGAGTTTGCGGACCTATATTTCGAAAACCCATAGGTTTTCGGATACTCGGAAACCCTGAAGGTATTTTCAGAAACTTAACATGAGTCCGGAAACCTTTCCGGATACGTTCAAGGGTTTTGGAAAGGGTTTTCGAAGGGGTTTCGGTTTCTGAGAAAACGCTTTTTTTTTTAGAGTGCACACCCACACCCACCCAAAAATGTCTGATATCGAGGTTACTGTTTTCGACGATGGGCTCGATCAAATTTGAAGAATTGTAGAACATGTCGAACTGAGAAATGATGCAAATCTAGATATTCATAAGTTTTTGTAGAGATCTTCCTATACTTTAGAACTAAATCAATGGTTCCATGACTTGTCGTAAATGGAACAAGTTTTATTTCTGCAGAGTAGTGAAGAGGAGAGTGAATTACGTGGTATGCCAAGGATTATAAACGACCGCGAAATGACAAGCCTTTTAAATTGATACTTTGAAAAGTCTCCAGAGAGATGCGGTTGAACTCTGAGTCTAGCAAGGATTTCAAATATTTCAAGGCATGAAGCAATATCTGGTCTGGAGATTATTGAAACACATTCTGTATTTTCTCAGAATTCAAGAGTTTCATGACATCCCGAAGTGATAATCATCGCAAAGCGATATCTCCGAAAAACAGTCGTATAAAGCCTATCGGACCTTGGAGACAATGAAGAATTCCAACTTTTACAAGACATTCAACTGTCTTTGGTGTTTAGAATGATAAGGTGCGTAGTGTAGTGTATTACAACTGGTTACAACTATTGGACAAGATCTCGAAGTTGGAAGTACCGAGTTTCGTATGTTCGGGAAAATGGCTTACAGAGATTCTAAGTAGTCAGAACTAGAGGAGAGATATCAATGGCTTATCTATGTAATAAGGAATATCATTGTGGGTTCTATAGGATAATGATGATTTGGAAAGATCTAGCAGCATGAACTTTTGGAAAGTTAGATAGATGAAAATCTCATCTGTGTCCTGTCGGGGTCCATGACAGAATCGATGGTGCGGAGGTTTCTAGGGCATCGAGTTGTGTGGTTTCTTGAGCAAAATTAAGTGCATGTTGCATCAAGTTTGTTTTCAAGGAATGAGCGAGATCAAACATTTAGAAGATTTGGATTTCATGACTCGACGATGATTGTTTTAACGATTCCTCTTAAGCGTTTGCGGATTAGTCGTTAGGAAGAGTTCTAGAGTGGAAAGTTTGTTTTGTTGGCAAAATTTTGGTGGTAATGTTC